TTAGAATTTGAAAAGGTGATCGAGTGTTCCTCAAGGTCACCCCTTTCAAGGGAATCAGTAGGTTTGGCAAAAGGAGAAAACTAAGTCCCCGGTTTATTGGGCCATTTAAGATATTAGACATAATTAGTACCGCCGGCTGCAGACTAGCATTACCTCTAGAACTATTTAGAGTTCATAATGTGTTTCGTGTGTCCACGCTATGCAAGTACAACTTGGACCCCTATCACATTTTGGCCCACGAACCCCTTTCACTCCAAGAGAATTTGTTCTATGAGGAGGTACCAGTGACCATTGTAGACTAAAATAGCAGAGTACTCTGCAACCGAGAAATTTCCTTCGTTAAGATCCTATGGTACAATCACACACAGAGAGAGGCTACGTGGGAGGTAAAATCATACTTTACAGCCTAATATCCCCAATTGTATGATTGAGTGAGAGGGAGACAAATTTGATGGACCAAATTTCAAAGGAGAGAGAGTTGTAATACCTGTGTCCAAAATTTAGCTCAGGATTAATTTTAACATTTTAAATATATAAAAAAATTATTTTAAAATTAATCTATTTTAATTTTTTGTTGAATTTATGGAAAAAAAAAGGTTATGGATGAAATTGAAAATAATTTTGAAAAAAATGGGTGAAAATTTGGGTTCGAAGGGTATTTTTTTAAAAAAAATCAGAAACTGATGGCGAGAGTGCAAATAAAAAAAATTTTACCACGTAGGATTGCCAGTCAGCAACCTCGACGAACCGAAGCATGCTGTGTGGCAAGGCACGCTGACGCAGGATGCCACGCGGACGGTCCGCGTGCCCCACAACCGAACGACCCAAGATTGATCCTGCACGCGTGGACGACCTGGATTTGTTCCCCTTTTAAATGCTATTGGATGGTCGAGATCAAATTACAATGAACGGTCCAGATTCATTTTCTCTTTAAATGCGATCGGACAGTTGAGATCAAACACGATGAACAACCCATATTAACGCAATATGGGTATAAATATTTTGCATCATACTGAATCCAAACCCTAGCCGCCAACCTCCCATCGGAGAAGAAGAACCAGTCGCCGGAGAAGAGAGCCGACCGCCAATCGCCGCCGCACCGGAGCCATCTCTGACTGTCAAAAAAGGTAAAAATTCTTCTATGAACTTAGAATTTGATTACGAGCACCCCCATGGCCAAATCGGAGCAAAAAGAATGGCGGGTGGGTCGAAAACTACGGACAAAACCTAGCAGCGCCGCCACAGGCAAAACCTGCAACCTCTTTCGATGAGCTCCTTTTCGTTTCCCATTTTGTGCAATTTTTCCACCGCTGTGATCACCGTTCTGTTTTCTAAAAGTTGATTAAAGAAAAACTCCCAGTTGCGAAGGTGAGCCGACAAAGCCGCCGCACCCAAAAAACTCCACCGCTAGTAAGTTTTTCGTTTTTTAATTTTTTCAACCAACCGATGCCCCTTAACGTGTTTTTTCACAGGGATATGTATAAAACCAGTCAAAACCGGCCAAAATGGGTCGTAAACAGACAGGCCAAGGCAAACTGTCATCGCGGGCGGTGGTGTCGTCGCTAGAGCACGACGATGCCGCTGTGCCAAAACTCTAAAATATGTTGGAAAGGATATTTTCACCAATTTTGGATTCATAGGGTATTTTTAGGCACGTGACAAGTGTTTTAGATTCCGTATAGATAATTCAGGAAATTCGGGGACTGCC